TTAGATAGTATTATTCAGCTGCGGAACAAGACATACGGGCAAAATAATCAGCTGATCGTCAACATCAGCTGATTTGCGCCATTGCAGTAAAATAGAAATAAGACTAAATAGCAAACGTCTATTCGCATTAATTACGGTGAGCAAATAAAGTACTGTAATCATCTTGAAAGCTTCCGCTAAAATATTATTTTAATAGAACGAAATAGGTGAATGGAACTGACCTGAGCTGTTAGCTGGTCTATTAAATAGAAAAGAATACTCCAAATTACGATAGCCATTTGCGTTTCCGCGGGGCCATACGAGTGAAGAGCGCTGAAGCTGTTCGTCTATGTCTAGGAGGGCGGCGATCGATACGTGTCCTGCCTGAGGCTCTGCGAGGAGGGCAGCCAGCAGCCGCCAGATGTCTACCACTGACGAAATTCTACTCACGTAAAGGTCCTTGTTTTCGATGTTGGTTTGGCGATGAGGAGGGATTTAGTGCGGTGGGAAGAGGCAAGGCTACATCTGGTATACTCTTTATCCCTGAGACGGGGTAGGCGTGGCATTCGAACATGGCACGGAACTGGTTACTCGTGGGATATTTAAATTTCAGACAACCGCCATCTTGTTCTTTGTTGGAAAAAGACGTGACCACATTTGGGTCAAAATGAAAATGTCTTTCCAAGAGCACAGCCACCACGACGTTTAGTTGAAGTACGCAGCCACGCCTACCTCATCTCAGGGATTTCGACTGTACAATGTGCAGGTCGAATCCTAACTGGTCTGCCAAACCACTTAACAGTCTCGAGTATCTGTCAACCACGAAGCTTTCCTTCTCCCTTCTTTCCCTTGTCTCATTCCCTCTTCCTTATTTTCCCTTTCCAATATTGGCCAGTAGATGCGATGAAAAAATACCTCTGAATCCTCAAAGCGGAGAACATCCGGTGGACAGAAAACCTGTATCGATTCTCAGATTGACAGAATTGTCCCTCTCGAAATCAGGGCACATTGTTGCTTGGGATTCCCCAACAGGGGGAGTATTTGATCGCTGGTAGAGGGGGTCGTATTCAGACTGAGACAATTTTTTTGACAGTTGATTTTTCTTGTTTCAGGGGTTGATTTTTCTTGTTTCAGGGTGGCGCAAGGGGGGAGGGGCGGCGTGGTGTCGTATTCTTGGGACAGGTGGGGGGTCGTATTCCACTTCTGACCCTCTTAGAGAGGTTGCTGACTTCTCCTGTTCATGTGTTCTGAACATACCGCTCCCCCCCCCCCCCTCCCCGCGTTCTACAGCAAAATCTTTGCGTAAAAATAGGGAAATTCTCGGGAAATTCCGAAAAAAGTGGTGGGGAAATAAGGGAAATGGGGGTAGAGAGGGGAGTCGTATTTTCCCCGCGGTTTTTCCCGCTTCACATGTACTATTTAACCCCCCCCCCCTCGCTCACCCCGCCCCCTTCTCGACCGACACCTCTGTGAGGAGGAAACCAAGGGGGGGGGGGCGTCCGGCCGGGCATCCGTCATACCAATTTGATTTCGGAGTCCTACAGTAAGAGTTTCCAACGATCGTTCCGTCTTTTTCTCCCAACGACGCGTAGAAGACAATAATCGTCGGCAGCGATTCGACTGTAAAGCGATTAATACGCTAGTTCATACGTTGCTAAAGTGGAGAGAAGTCGCACGATCAATCCCCGGCTAGGGATCTAGCCTTACAGTTCGCGGAGGAATCGCAGTCCGTACGACCTCACTCCAGGAATATGTGAGCCCTTTCCTTACAGGCTGTCGATGTTCCTGTCCAATATCTACGGCTGTGTCGCGTATAGTAAGAACGTAGCCGCTTCCAGTGGACTTCCACTAAGTCTCCAGTCCTCTTTAAAATTGCAATAACATCAATCGCAAAAAACGGCACAAGAGAGATAGACAGGATTGATTTAGCTCTTCTGGGGAAAACTTGCATTTAAATACACGAAAGGCTTCCATATAAGCTTGTGTCCGTGACCGCGCTTCACATCAGCATCATAACACGGGAAACTTTTGGTTAGCGCGAATTTTTTATCTTTCACTGAAAACACTTTCATGTAGTCACAAAGTAGAGCAGAAGCCTGCTCGTTTTGAGAAGTAGAAAAATTCCGGCGCATGTTCTGCAGACGAATGGGGCGCAATTTTGCTATTTCTGTTCCTTCACATTAGTTCCGGTTACAAGTTTGCACTCTTGGTGAAACCCTGCTGAACGTCTTGTGAAGCTGGAGCAAACGGGAAGAAGAGGCTGCTCTAGATTGGCGTCGGCAACGTCATCTGGCAGTTAGCAAAAGCTGCAAAATACCCCCCGGATACCCTCCCCCCAAGTCGGCCCAAACTGGCCCCGATTTTACCCTCTCCGAAAGAGCTGAAAGATTTTAGCTGTAGCATCGCACGAATAACGGAGATGCCGGCCCTTCACGTGCGAGAAAAGGCTAAATCGGCGCAGATGAATATTTCCGCCTAGCGTGAAGTTCTCAGGCTTTTCAAATTACCCACACTTTTGTTCAGACAATAATTCGGAACGTACAGCCCCGCTACGGTTTGGCCATTACTCGACAGTTTCACTCTATTCGCAGCAGTGCGAACATATTTCTTGTAGTCTGCTATAGTAGAAAAATTATCCGTTCGCGATATTGCCTCCGAAAGCTTGCCTCCTTATAGAAGGGCGGATCATCACCAACAGCGATCCTATATTATCGTCCCAGAACTCGCAATACTTTTCACCCCCATGCATTCCTTCCATCTGCTTAATAGCTAGGAAATTGCGGCTTAGAGGGGCGTGCGCAAGCCGCTCTTATGGGGAAGCGCAAGCACAACCTCTCTCCCATTTCCATGAAACTGCAGCGACGTAGAATATGGATCCATGGAATAAGGATCAAACACCTCTCTGGGGTAGCTAATAGCCTCCTTGCCGGGGATTTGGAGGAACGTGACTTGCTGCTATGCTGTTAGTTTCATTTACAGTGAATTTTAATATGTGAGAAACTCCCAACTCGACAGGAGAATTTCGCGACTCCAACGACGAGGCTACAAAAGCAAGCGCACTGCGTCCACTAATGCTTCAGTCTTGCCCTCATGTAAGACAAACTCCGCGGTAGTAGGTGGCTCATACCAGGCAGTAGATCATAGGTAACTCCCAGATACAGCGAAAGACCCAGCAAAAACAAACTCGAAAAGCACTTTGAGAACAGAGACCCTTCCAGCAGTGGGCGCGTCTTGGACGAGATATGCTGAACCGTCGCTATGCTCAATTAGGCAGGATTCAAAACGATGCAACCGATTCCGGCCAGACACACCTGGAAACCATCCGTAACGATGCCTTCCAGTTAACGTAGGTACACAGTGCTATCGCCGCTTCGTAAGCCTGATTGTTTCCAGATAGAGTGAAAAGATAATCACGGTTGTCAGGCTGTGCAATCAATCGCCACGCGTCCCTGGCTCCTTCGTAATATAGGCCGTTTGCGAGTGAAGAAAGTTGTATATTCTCGTAGCGAAATGCAGAACAACAATGCAAATGCAGGGGCATTTCGGAAACCTCTTCGAATCAGTCGAGAACTGTCTTTAACAGCTGCAATGCTACCCCTCCCTTACCGACAGGTCACATAGGACCGTCACGTCGCGTTCCGCAACATACGCCTGACCCAGGCCGGGGCGCCACCTTTGATAGGATATTCCTGTTTCGGCACTACTTCAATCATGTCCTTGTCCAGCACAAGATAGGACGACAATTGTCGCAAATGGAAATGCTGCGCGACAAACGCGTCCCTCATAAGGTTCGAATGAATGCGCAGCCACGCCCTCTCATCTCCGGGATATAGAGTGCATCTTGCACAGAATCACATTGAAAAGTGTACTTTTATTCAGGTGAGAATATCACATTCCCCACACAGGTCACATTTAAGAATGATCAGAAAATCATACAGAAAGCTATAGAAACATGTCTTCTACTGTTACAAATATGAAAGTTCCTCCAACATAGCATAATAAACAGAAGAGGAAAAGAAACGTTAGAAAAGAAAATCGTTATGAATACAAAAGTTATTGTCTCTCAGTACTTAAAAAGAAACACGGCGAAAAAAAATTGCGTGGAATCTGAAAATATAAATATAACACCTAGAAGGGAATACGGTAACCCATGGTGGTACTCGAATCAACTCCTCCTTCAACTCGAGTAACCCTCAGATACCGTATCGCTAGCATGAAACCAGAGTTCTGCTTTAATGCTTCGAATGAAAACAAAAGCCCTTCGGTGATTCTTAAAAATCAATCTCGAGCACCACGAAACAATCAAGTACTCTATGGAGAAGATGAATGGAACGGAAAACGAAAACGCAAAAAAAGCAAATCGCCAGGTCGCTTTCACGCTCTAGACCCCCATGAGAAAAAGAAATGGATATCGATCACACGCGCGTGAAATCGATATGCATTCTGCTGCACGACTGGGCAAGTTTGAAGTGTGAAAACACCTGATCAACTACTTTTCTACACTGAAACTCTTCTAGACCCCATTATTTACAAATCAGTTAGGACACATTTTCACTTCTAGATGACGTTTTCTGAGGGGCACACCGGTGCATGGGATGAAGGAGCAAGAATAGATGGATGAATGAATATACAACAACAAGGCGTCAAACCACGTGAAATACACCGCATTTCACCAACATCAATTGGTTCGCCTTATCCTTCTTGGCCAAAATCGTTCTTGAACTGCTCCAGCTTCGTCAAATCAGCTGCATTCACCGTCGGTTTTACGGTCGCCAACGATCGCATCATGTCATGCTAAAACAAGCAAAGTAAACAACACAAATGAGAGAAAATATGGACGAAAGGAAAGGAGGAAATGGTGAAAAGAGGAGGAATTATCAAGGAAAAAACCCAGAGAAGCAAATTGAGAAGGGCTGGACGTGGTGCAGAGACAAGCGGCTTGTGCGATCCGGGAGTCACTTATGGAGTTCCGCTCACTCAAGGATCTTTCATTCCTTCGGAGTCATTTAACAGCACCAGATTTGTCCGAAAAGGCGAAAACAGCTACAGTAAAGCCACCCCCCCCCCATCACTACGAGTTATTCTCAAACTCTGGAAAGAGGCACATCATCGCGTTGTGGTGAATTTTGCTGGCACCCACCATTTACCCTTTATTGCCGCACTTTCCGACGTTCAGGTTAGAACTTCCATTTGGAAGTTAGCATCCAGAGATAGTATGACCTTCTAATAACAAATATTACATCCGCTTGGCCCAAAACTGACTGGTGCTCGCGCCATAAGTGTTGGCGCCAAGAAACCCCAAATCACCAGATTCACTGAATCTCGCCTCTAATGTAGTTTCACCTCCCGGACACACCCGGCCCAAAATTGTCTGGCACTCATGCCCCAAGCGACGGCACTACATGCTTGTTCCGACTCCGGTGCGTCTAGCAAAAACTCCAGTCGGTTTCGTGCTGAGTGCTACGCTAAGGCAGTTAAGGAGACGCGGCAAGACAAGGCACCGTCGTTTTCATGTGACTGTAAGAGAGGTCCTTCTCTTCCCTATGGCTCAGTCCTGGCAGAGGAAGGGGACACTGTCCCGGGAGAAGGGCGCTATCCTTAACTTACTTGGCCCCCATGCACATCCGAATTCAGTAGGTTAAACAAACCTTGGAAAAAGTTTTTAGCTAACTTAATGCTTGGAAGGCATTCTGACGCAGGCGCCAGTGGCGCGGGCGCCATGCAGTTTCGGGCTGAACGGGTGCAAAACCCGTGTTCAGAAGATCGAACTACTCCAGGATCAAATCTTTAGTCAAAGCTACCTTCGAAAAAAGTCGGTAAAAAACCGGCGTGATTGTGGATGATTGGGACAGCAAAGGGTAAATAAATAGAGCTTTTTGCACGATATACCCACTTTCCCTCACATCTTCGCCTGGCACTTGTGCGTGGGCTCAGCTTAGTTCATGGGCGCTCTGTACATTTTGGCCCATAACTACCTGTTTAAAACCTGACCCAGCCTCACCAAAGGAACCCTTCATGCAAGTTCTAACCTACTCCTAGTCCTATCCGGACAGAAGTACATGCTAACAAACATATAAATAAAGAAACAAGCGTAGCAAATTTTATATAGTAAGAATTATTTGGAAATGAATTCAATTCCACTTACCATAGTGAGTATCGGTTCGGCTAGCTTATCGCCGGGGACATCCAACCAACTCATAGGTATCGCTCCGCGGTCGCCTGGACTACATGGGGTGAGCAAATCGTGTACGATCACTGAAGGATCTGATCGCGACGGACCGCTCACGTGTCTGAAAAGGTAATTTTTTTATCGCAGAGCTTCTAACCACGTCATAAACTATCAGAGGTACATACTTAAAGTGAGTTGCAGCTTGCACACGTCGAATTGGTTGCATAAGCGCATCTTTGACGAGAATGTTGATATCGTAACCAGAATATCCTTCTGTACGTTCAGCCAATAACTGAAATCAAGGAATTACCATAACGTATACAAAACAAGAGGAAGTATTTCATAACTGCTCAAAGGGGATATGCCGCTTGTACGACGTTAGAATAGTATCCTGCGGCCACAACGTTTTGAGGGCCTTGTATTTGGAAACTGGCCACCTTCCCCCCCCCCTCTTCCTCCTTCACTGTGCTGAGGCGGAGGTAAGAATCGACCAGACTTGCTCTCACAGTTCTCCTCCAACATCGCGACGTCCCATAGCCAACGTTCTCACGCTGCCAACATTGGACCTTTTTTCTCTCGTGGCTTCGATAAAGAACGAGCGCCAATTCGGGGATTCGCACTGTGGCCGCGAGGCGTTGAAACTTGTACCGCAGGCTGGGCATTCTAACCAGGATCTTATTGACTGAACGTGAAGATGCTGTATCTTAAGCCAACTAGCCAGAAAACGAGCTAACTGCTGCGCATCGCGTTGGTATCCTGGCCTGCACCTCTGCAGAAGGTGCGAAATTTTGCGTCCCCGCAGAAATAGGCAGCAATGAGAGCTATATAGCCTTTTTGAGCAACGGGATGAGACCGCAAATCGCTCAACATGGAAAGTGTTTGATCATTGGGATGAAATGACAAGATGTGGCTTGGAAGACGAGCAAGAGAATCGTAAATTGCCGCTCAGTCGCGCGCGGCAATGGGCCGACGTCTCCTTAATTTGCACTACGCTTTCGAAGGAGCATTTGATTTTATGTAGACATAGATATTTATGTCTATTTTTAGTCATACATTGTCTATTCTCGACCACCACCACCACCTAAAATCGTCGTCATTATCGGGGGCGACGTCGCACGCGACGCCCACTGGCGCGGCGAATCACGGTTCCCTTGCCACATACCCGGAAACGATAGTTTCGCCTATTATTCCAACCGATCAAGCATAAATCGCTGCTGGCTGCTGTAAATCAGCTACAAGGAGTATTTACAGATTCCCTTTTTCTTACGGATTCTCTTCAGGAATAAAACGGATATTTTTTGATCTTTCCTACCCCAACTTACGACTCAAAGGCTTGGACTCCAAGGAAGCACGGAGAACATGCGGTCAGCGTCATTCAACGTGCCATTGAAAGAGTAATGCTCCCGTTTAATCTCCCTCTACACACACAGTGAGGAGGGAATCCGGAACTTCGCACTCCATTGATGATGCGAAGAATCAACGAAGTTGGCTATACACTAGCAAAAATTAGGGTAAGAATGGGAACTAGGTGGACTCAGGCTACGGAAAAATTGAACTGATGATTGTGAGTGATCTGTTCACTTAACGGCGATACCTTGTAATCGGCATCAGTTAGATTGTTATTATTGCGTCCCACATCCAAACGGAACATGTCCTTGCGTGCATTCATCTCCGGCAATGGAATGTAAATTCTCTTCTCGAAACGCCTGAAAACAATAAGCTCATCATGGTTCCAACTCACTATAAGCCATTCGATGCTATATGGAGTACAAATGAAACCCTCTGAAATCATACATCATCGTAAAAGAGATTAAACCACAAGGAATGTAGAGAGGGAAGGTAGGATTACGGGGTCTATACCTGACGACGACACCATATTGGAAACATGACACATACGAGTGTCGCATTTCGTTCAATTCCCAGTTACGCCAGCTTGCCCATTAGATTAAGCACAAGTTTGCGAAGCAGCACACATAAGTATGAAAACAATGTGATAATTTGAGGTGGCCCTGGATCAGTCCATTAACCGAACACCAGGAGCGTGCAATACTATCGCATTCCCACAATGCGTGGCAGGATGAAGCAGACGAATGCACCAAGCATTTTTCGGCAGGTTGTACAGACTTGTCCCTGCGAGCTGTGATGTATTAGAGGTGCTAAGTTGAGCGCCAAGCCATCTCTAACAATCGTGAAAGCCTGCAGGCGAGACCACGACTGGTGGACACTGGCTGGCAACGCGCCAAACTCAGCTCTCCTGGCACACCCGTCCCCAGCGGAAAAAAAGCTGTATCTACTGCGCTTAGAATAAGCGGTTAGCGCGTGTATGATGGCTGTGTAGTAGGGAAAGGAACTATTACTGAGAAAGTTTCTGCACTCCCACTTCAGGGCCCTATGGAGTTAAAGTAAAAAGCATGTCTCGCGATGCTTGAATGGGCGGAGACATTGGCGAGGACACCAATCACGAGACTTCTACTTAGAGCGCCTCTCCTCTTAACCATAGCAGAAAGAGGGGCGTAAGGAGGGCATTATGGATGATGTCTCTCCCCATGTTCTCGCTCTTCCAGTTAAAGCGGAATGCGCTTCTAACATGTAGCTCAAATCTTCACTACGGTGGAATAACAGCACAAAAACCACCTTCTTATAGCAGCGTCCAAAATCCAAGGGATATTCGTGGCTCCTAGCACAAGAATGCCATCATTATTCAGTCCAACACCTTGCATTTGTACCATGAATTCTGTCTTCACACGACGTGCACTTTCACTTTCGGTGTCTGATCGCGAAGCACACAATGAATCAATCTGAAAAGCATCACGGCGAATCTCTGACAGCATAAATAAAAGACAACAATAGATAGCTATAAATCGTTTCTCGATCAGAGAACAAGGAGAAATTGTTGGGGCGGGCACTAGGGAAAGCCACCTAGTGTGCTCCGGGAACGGCACCAATCAGGGTACATCCCATGACTGAGGAAAATTCTGCAACATATGATCCGCCTCAAATTCCTGGTACGTACGACTCCCCTTTCCTATCCTGCCGACCATGTCCCCAAGTTTTCCCAACTTCCCTGCACTTTTTCAGAAATTTCCAATAATCTTCCAATTTTCTCCAGAGTTTTGCCAGCGGTACGGCATATCATTGGTTGGGGATTTTGGTCGAGTCCGTACAACCCCCCCCCTCTTTTTGGTTTGGTAGACCCCAC